TTGGGTAAACTTTAGGAAATGACCCAACCCATTTTAGAGTATTAAACATACAATAATTAACCACTGCTACTTAAAGATAGAAATTATATCCCTTGCATATTTAGTTCCAATCTATAACATCCACAAGGCTTGTCTACATTCCAAAATAAATACTAACAGCAAAAAAAAAATAATTAATCTTAAAGTCTATCTAAATAAAATAGGAAATTCCTTAGCGAATCTGTCACTATTCGGGAGCGGAATTTTGAATGTCCTGATCTAAAAGGCTGAAATTATAATTTGAATGAGCACATACTTGCTCAATAAGCGTACAAGAACCGAACAACGTAATTGTTCGTCCAAAACATAGTAAAAAAAATAATAATAAAACAATCCATAGATTATTAATTTTAACAAACCAAGTTTTGACTTAAAAATCTATTTCATTTCTTCACTTCACATCAAAATTGAATCAGATTCACATTCAACTACATCAAGTTCATATTCAGAAAATTTTCATTTTCAACAACAAATACTATCTGATCATATCATAATCGCATCCAAGTATAATACACATATCAAATCAATCACATTTTATTTTGTGTATTAGTATCATTTCACTCAACCAGTACTCTTGGACCCCATAGATACTTAATGTTTCTTCTACAATTATCGGTCGTCCTCACATCTCGTTCGGTAATAGACACTATTTTTTTCGGCCAACCTCATACCCCGTCTGATATGAGTGCCGCTTTTATCAGCTGTTCCCGTACAGTGTCCAGTATATGTGTCATTAACAACCTCCCAACCCCATCTAGTATGGGACTTCCTAGCCCCGTACGACTGAGGATCATATCCACGATAGAATTCATCTTATATACTTCCTCTTTGATACTCGGTAACGGTTTTATTTATCTCAATTGTCATATTATATTTTTCATTTACAACCAACCTGCAACATGCAAATATTCAATCAAGCTCATACAACTTTCATTTTTAACCATTAAAATTTTAACACGTGCATCAGAAAATGATGTCAGAATGCGTAACTCATAATTGAATACACACTGAAGGATAATTAATCACCAATAGGATAAAACAAAGACAATAAAGATGAACCACCATAAATACAAAACAAACAAGATAGAAAACGATTAGCATAAATTTAAATAATACAAAATGAAATAGAATTTAAACTAAACAAAATAATAAAACATACTAACAAAATAAAATGATATAAATGAAATAAAATAATTAATAAAAAATGAAATAATAATTAAAATAGATAAAATAATAAAATAGAATAATATAAAACCAAATAAAAGAAATAAAAATGAAGTCCTGAACACCAACCAAGAGAAATACATATTCACATACTGACATTCGCACACACCACACAAATAGCCACGAACGACCTTTCATGAACGTCAACTCGCAACAGTGTATCAACCCATAACGGCATAATAGATATCAAATAACCAAAACAAACATACATAATCAATCATATACCAAGAATGCACCAAATTGATTTAAAACATTACCATCAGCACCTTACATGAGATCTAATCTAAAACTACAATCAATCTAGGTGATTTAAGGTCAAACTTTGATCAAACGATTACAGAGAGGGTTCGGGTATCCTTACCTGATGTTTGGTTTCAAAAAGGTACGCGAATCCCTAAGCGCCACCGCATGTGCTATTGCCGAAGTCAGCACACGCCGCTGCAAATGAGTAGAAATCGCCAAGAAAGTCGCAGCACGCCCAGTCTGAAACAAATCTCGCCAAAGCCGTCAGGATCTGGCCTCCCTGTGATCCAGCCACTCCTTCCCCGTCGCACACAACACTTTTAAGTTTCTTTCTCTGTCGTCGCGCTGTGCGCCAAGAGCGAATAAGCCTTCTCGTCGTCGCGCCGCACACTAGGGACAGATCTCCCTCTCTTGCTGCAATGCGACTCTTTCTTCCCAGCACGTCACGCAACGATCGTGCGCAAGTCTTCTTCTTCGGCCGCTGTTTCTCTGCCTCGCATGGATCGGCTGCTCGCCGCGCCTCCTTTCTTCTTTTTCTTTTTTTTTTTCTTCTTCTCCGCCCCTCTCTTCCCCCCTTAGGGTTTCTTTCTTTTTATTTATTTATTTATTTATTATTTTTTATTTTTATTGTATTTTATTTTATTTCTCTTTTTTTATTTGCCCTCTTTTTTGTTGTTGTTACACTTTATATTATAAAAAAAATTATATTATTAATGTAAATTAAATAAGAAAACGATTAGTCTTCTAATAAAATATGGTTTCTTATATATTTTGCTACAGTAAGATTTATGTTTTACTGAATTTAAATTTGGAGAGATGGAAATTTTGAGGTATCCATCAGCATTATGATTTTAGTCGATTTTAAAGTATTAAAAAAAAGAAAAAAAAAAAGAGTTATTATGTACCATGCTTGGTTGAATATCAGTTAATGTAGAATACTTATCCACTTTGACCAAATAAAATTATCCACTTCAGTCAAATATATAGATGGATGTATCTTGTTAAAGAAAATTATTAAATATTTGTTGTTACGTAGGATAGAGATTGAGAATCATTAATGGCATACAAACATAATGTTCCACATTTAGAGATAGTAAAATGAAATAAATGATGAGTCATAAGATAGAAATGAAACAGAAATGAGTTACTATAA